GTGTCTCAGACCTGGACCATAGTCGGTGGGCAGGAGGCCAGCTTTCACACAGCTCCAGGAGTTCGTGGCAATTGTTTGTGGAAGGAGCGTTTGTCTCACTCAGCAAGCAGCTAAATTCCACTGGACCCAGGGAAGCCACTCTTCTTTACCCAAAAGGTATGGAAACAGGGGGAAGGTGACTAACATTATGTAAATTACAAATTGTGTGTGTAACTGTCAGTATGTGTGTGCAACTGTGTCAGAATGTGTATGTAACTTTGGGGAGCTATATATTAAAATGCTTCCCAATTAAAAGGCTTTGCATGAAATTTGATCTTTCACCTGTTCGGTAGATGGCTCCTTAATTTGGTATCCTGATATATGGCAATCCCATATAAGGATATCAAATTTGAGAATTGTCTATTAAACTGCTTAAACTGGTGTGAGTGTTTGATTTCCTAACCAGAACTAATATAAGTTGTTAATGGATTTATTTTTCTGGTAGCAGATTTTTAGTAGAGAGGTGATTAAGTATCTAAGCTGAAAGTGGACAAATGTGGGTATCAACTGCAGGTATTTATCTGTAATATCTCGAAGGGTGAGAATAGAACAGTGAGTCGTGCCTACAAAGGGATAGATGGACGTGGTTCCTCTCTGCTCCCACTACTGGAATGGGATAGCTGAGGAACTGTTGTGTACTAGGAGAGTGTGAGCAAAGGGGACAAAAAAATTTAATTAACGGGATAGAGACCCTTTTCAATACTTCAGCAGTTTAGTAAATAGCTCATTAGCTTGGCATTATTATGTGGGATTGCCGTATGTAAAGATATCAAAGTAGGGAGTCATCTACTTAATTGTTTAAAGATCAAATTTGATAAAAGTGCTTATAACTCCCTAATTTGATAGGGGTTCATTAAAGAATGTTTTAAGCAAAATATGAAGTAGATATGCAGAGACACAATCTATACACCAAAACTGCTTCATGAATGAAAAGTCATTTTAGTGTGGTTTGTAAGGTTATAGAGGGTTTCTTCACGCATCATGAACACTTCAGTAATTTGAAGTGGTTGTGGCGCTTGCAGTCTAAATGCACAGTTTGAAATGGTGCACATAAAGAGTTAAACCACTTACAGGGTTATTTATTCAAGTCCAAATAACCCCGAACCGAATGGGTGGAAAAACATTCGGCTGCACACAGGGCTGTTCGGGCTGCAAAATCCGGACATCGTTGAAGGTATTATAAATGGGACAGAATTTAGTCTGGGCGGAATTAATGAAATCCGGACCAGATTTCTGATCTCCCCACTGGTGTGCCACCCCAAGACTATGGCCATGTGTCAAGTCCAACCATGGATGTAGATAAATTTTATTCTTACAACAGCCCAGAAATTTGCATTTTTAAAAGTTAAACAGTAAACTACTAACCTCCATTCTGGATAGCAAGTTTCATTCCCATATAGGAAGGCAACTTATAAGGCTAAGCAACACCTGCCATTTGAATAGACTAGTTACTTCTCTAAAGGCAAACCAACGAGAGGTAGGGTGACTGCAAAGCAAAACAAATGTTTTCTGGCATGATATGTATATACAGCTGTGCTCAAACGTTTGAATACCCTTGGAGAATTGGTAATATATATACATTTTTTAAAGAAAACATGAGTGAGCAGGAAAAAACATTTATTTTATTTCTTATGGGATTCACATTCAATGGTAGGTTATAACAGAATGACAGTCATAAAACAAAACATGGAAACAAATGAAATGACCCCTGACCAAAAGTGTATTGCCCCCTTTAGCATGACAGTGTGCAGTCTCTTGTAATAGTTGTCTCTGAGGCCCCTAATTCTTGCAGGTGGTATTGCTGCCCATTTGTCTTGGCAAAATGCCTCGAGGTCATGCAAAGTCTTTGGTTGTCTTGCTTGAATCGCACGTTTGAGATTCCAAAAAGTTGCACAATGATATTAAGTTCAGGAGACTGTGATGGCTGCTCCAGAACCTTCACCTTTTGATGCTGTAACCACTAGAGGGTCAGCTTGGCCTTGTGCTTAGGGTCATTGTCATGTTGGAAAGTCAAAGAGTGTCCCATGCGCAGCCTTCGTGCAGAAGAATGCGAATTGTCTGCCAGTATTTTCTGATACCATGCTGCATTCATCTTGCCATCGATTTTCACAAGATTCCCTGTGCCTTTAGAGCTCACACACCCCAAAAACAGTAAGCCACTATGCTTCACAGTGGGGATGGTATTCCTTTCACTATAGGCCTTGTTAACCCCTCTCCAAACATAGCGCTTATGGTTCTGACCATAAGGCTCTATTTTGGTCTCATCACTGCATATTACAGTGTACCAGAAGCCAAGATGTCAAGGTGTTGTTGGGCCTTTTGCAACCGGGCTTTTTTGGGGCATTGGTGCAGAAAAGGCTTCTTTCTGGCAACTCAACCGTGCAGCTCATTTTTTTTCAAGTTTTGTCATATTGTGCTCTTTGAAACAACCACACCATCTTTTTACAGAGCAGACTGTATTTCTCCTGAGGTTACCTGTGGGTTTTTCTTTGTATCCCGAACAATTCTTCTGGCAGTTTTGGCTGAAATCTTTCTTGGTCTACTTGACTCTGGCTTGGTATCAAGAGATCAATACATTTTCCACTTCTTAATAAGTGACTTAACAGTATTGACTGGAATTGTTCCGGCTTTGGATATCTTTTTATATCCTTTTCCATCTTTATAAAGTTCCATTACCTTGTTTCGCAGGTCTTTGACAGTTTTTTGCTCTCCGTTTAGTATCTAGCCTGATTTGTGCATACATGTGAGAGCTAACAAACTCATTGACTATTTATACACAGACATTAATTCCAACTTAAAATTACCCTTTAAATGCTATTTTAACCTGTATGTGAGGTCCCGTGTGTTTCTGTAACATGACCTACCATTCAAGGGTGTGCAAACTTTTGATCAGGGCCATTTGGGTGATTTCTGTTATCATTGTGAGTTAAAAAGGAGCCAAACAACTATGTGATAATAAATGGCTAATTATAATCACTATCCTTCAACAAGAAATTTTTTTGCATGATCAGTCATATTTTCAAAATCAATGCCAAAATTTTACAATTGCTGCCAGAGAATGCAAACTTTTGAGCACAACTGTAGGCAAACATGCTTAAAAGTGGAACAGAACCCCCAAGTATATACTAGTTACTTGCCCATTTGAAGTGCATTTTCATCTTTTGGGACTGGGACATTACACCAGCTCATTTATATATCACATTCTGTGGCTATGTCTTCACACAAGGCAATACACAGAATGTGTAATGATCATTACATGCTGTACTGTAATAAACATTCCACTATGTGAAGGATGCCTGTATAGCGCTAAAAACCCAGGTGCCAGCAAATCGATGCCATGTATCTTTGGATAATATACTCAGTCACATTCTGGCCAGGTCTTGTGCACAGGCGTAAACATAGAATGTGACGGTAGATAAGAACCATTCGGCCCATCTAGTCTGCCCAATTTTCTAAATACTTTCATTAGTCCCTGGCCTTATCTTATAGTTAGGATAGCCTTATGCCTATCCCACGCATGCTTACACTCCTTCACGGTATTTACCTCTACCACGTCAGCTGGAAAGCTATTACATTCATCCACTACCCTCTCAGTAAAGTAATACTTCCTGATATTATTTTTAAACCTTTTCCCCTCTAATTTAAGACTATGCCCTCTTGTGGTAGTATTTCTACTTTTAAATATAGTCTCCTCCTTTACTGTGTTGATTCCCTTTATATATTTATATGTTTCTATCATATCCCCCCTGTCTCATCTTTCATCCAAGCTATACATGTTAAGATCCTTTAACCTTTCCTGGTAAGTTTTATCCTGCAATCCATGAACCAGTTTAGTAGCCCTTCTCTGAACTCTCTCTAAAGTATCAATATCCTTCTGAAGATACGGTCTCCAGTACTGTGTACAATACTCCAAGTGAGGTCTCACCAGTGTTCTCTACAATGACATGAGTACTTCCCTCTTTCTACTGCTAATACCTCTCCCTATACAACCAAGCATTCTACTGGCATTTCCTGCTGCTCTATTACATTGTCTGCCTACCTTTAAGTCATCAGAAATAATCACCCCTAAATCCCTTTCCTCATATGTTGAGGTTAGAACTCTATCAAATATTCTGTACTCTGCCCTTGGGTTTTTACGTCCAAGATGCATTATCTTGCCCTTATCCACATTAAATGTTAGTTGCCACAATTCTGACCATTTTTCTAGTTTACCTAAATCATTTGCCATTTGGCTTATCACTCCTGGAACATCAATCCTGTTACATATCTTAGTATCATCAGCAAAAAGACATACCTTACCATCAAGACCTTCTGCAATATCACTAATAAAAATATTAAAGAGAATGGGTCCAAGTACAGATCCCTGAGGTACCCCACTGGTGACAAGTCCAAGCTTCGAATATACTCCATTGACTACAACCCTCTGTTGCCTGTCACTCAGCCACTGCCTTACCCATTCAACAATATTGGAATCCAAACTTAAAGATTGTAGTTTATTGATAAGCCTATGTGCAACAGTGTCAAAAGCCTTACTGAAATCTAGGTAAGCAATGTCTACTGCATCACCGTGATCTATTATTTTAGTTACCCAATCAAAAAAATCAATAAGATTAGTTTGGCATGATCTCCCTGAAGTAAACCCATGTTGTCTCTGATCTTGAAATCCATGTGATTTTTAGATGTTCAACAATCCTATCCTTTAACATGGTTTCCATTACTTTCCCCACTACTGAAGTAAGGCTTACTGGCCTATAGTTGTCAGACTTCTCCCTACTATCTTTCTTGTGAATGGGTGCAACATTCGCTAAGTTCAAATCTTCTAGGACTACTCTAGTAGACTCGTCCTTTAGTCACCTGACAGGTGCTCTCTTGGAGTCAACCCCATCACTCCCAAAAGCATGTGTGTGGACACTTTTACTTTTGTTTACAGTAAAAAATGAAATTTACTGCATAAAGTCCGACTCATTTTCATTTATACTCCAGGAATGAAAGAAGAAGAAGAAGAAGAAGAAGAAGAAAAAAGCCACAATTGAAATATTAGGGGCTGCAGAAATTAGCCAGTAATCTAAACTGCTGATACACTTACCTGATGCAGAAGGAAAAAAATTATATCCAGAACAAAGGCAGATAAACTGCTCCAAGCCTATGTTCCATTGGAAATTTTTATTTTACAAACAACCTAATCTATTTAAACTAGCAGCTTCCTTATGCACTCAATGAACCGTTATCGCCTCAGGGAGAGTTTAAAGTAGATTCCTTAACACTAAAAAGGAACAAGCAGGGAGTCGCCTCTAGTCGTTGTTTTGAACTTCATGAATAACACTGCAAACAAATATTGGCCTGGTCAGCATAATATAAAACCTGGGCCTGCTAAAAACTGCCTGATAGGGAGCGACAGTACTATCTATACAAGTTTCACAGTCATATTTCCTGTCCTTTCTGCTGAGAAGGGACAACCACCTCAAATGAATGATGACCTGGCTTCCCTAGCTACAACTGGGCTCAAAATTTCACATCCAATGCTACTAGATATGCAAAATAGTTGCTTGCCACTGCAAGCCTAGTGGGTCCGTGGCACATTTAATCAGGAGTCTGTTTCTACTTGTCACAGCTGTATTTTCCCTCGCCAGTGGCTGCGAAATGACAACCACATATTTGAGCTAAATATGGATACGGATTATGTATGGCAACTACACTGCTCAAACAAATAAAGGGAACACAAAAATAACACATCCTAGATCTGAATGAATTAAATATTCTACTTAAATACTTTGTTATTTACATAGTTGAATGTGCTGACAACAAAATCACACAAAAATAAAAAAATGGAAATCAAATTTTTCAACCCATGGAGGTCTGCATTTGGAATCACACTCAAAATTAAAGTGGAAAAACACACTACAGGCTGATCCAACTTTTATGTAATGTCCTTAAAACAAGTCAAAATGAGGCTCAGCAGTGTGTGTGGCCTCCACGTGCCTGTATGACCTCCCTACAACGCCTGTGCATGCTCCTGATGAGGTGGCGGATAGTCTCCTAAGGGATCTACTCCCAGACCTGGACTAAAGCATCTGCCAACTCCTGGACAGTCTGTGGTGCAACGTGACGTTGGTGGATGGAGCAAGACATGATGTCCCAGATGTGCTCAATTGGATTCAGGTCTGGTGAACGTGCGGGCCAGTCCATAGCATCAATGCCTTCGTCTTGCAGGAACTGCTGACACACTCCAGCCACATGAGGTCTAGCATTGTCTTGCATTAGGAGGAACCCATGGCCAACCGCACCAGCATATGGTCTCACAAGGGGTCTGAGGATCTCATCTCGGTACCTAATGGCAGTCAGGCTAGCTCTGGCGAGCACATAGAGGGCTGTGCAGCCCCCCAAAGAAATGCCACCCCACACCATTACTGACCCACTGCCAAACTGGTCATGCTGGAGGATGTTGCAGGCAGCAGAACGTTCTCCACGGCGTCTCCAGACTCACGTCGGACACATGTGCTCAGTGTGAACCTGCTTTCATGTGTGAAGAGCACAGGACACCAGTGGCGAATTTGCCAACCTTGGTGTTCTCTGGCAAATGCCAAACGTCCTGCACAGTGTTGGGCTGTAAGCACAACCCCCACCTGTGGACGTCGGGCCCTCGTAGAGTCTGTTTCTGACCGGTTGAGCAGACACATGCACATTGGTGGCCTGCTGGAGGTCATTTTGCAGGGCTCTGGCATGCTCCTCCTTGCACAAAGGCGGAGGTAGCGGGCCTCCTCCACGTCTCCTGATGTACTGGATTGTCTCCTGGTAGCGCCTCCATGCTCTGGACACTACGCTGACAGACACAGCAAAACTTATGGCCACAGCTCGCATTGATGTGCCATCCTGGATGAGCTGCACTACCTGAGCCACTTGTGTGGGTTGCAGACTCTGTCTCATGCTACCACTAGAGTGAAAGCACCGCCAGCATTCAAAAGTGACCAAGACATCAGCCAGGAAGCATAGGAACTGAGAAGTGGTCACCACCTGCAGAACCACTTTATTGGGGGTGTCTTGCTAATTGCCTATAATTTCCACCTGTTGTCTATGCCATTTGCACAACAGCATGTGAAATTGATTGCCACTTAGTGTTGCTTCCTAAGTGGACAGTTTGATTTCACAGAAGTGTGATTGACTTGGAGTTACATTGTGTTGTTTAAGTGTTCCCTTTATTTTTGAGCAGTGTATATGAAGTGTAGTCAAAGTATCTGGATAGGGCTTAGGTTTGATTTGAGCTCTATACAAGTATATTGAATTAGAAATGAATCCATGACTAATAAAAAAAAGATATAAAAATATTTACATATGTGAAGGTTTATTGTTCCCCATAGTGTTTGACACACTTTATTATATATGTCTAATTATATTCTTCCCGATTTACTGATGTTGACAACATACTCCAAATCAGTCCACCTGTGGATCATTGGTTCGCTTTGCATAATCAAGAGGTAAAATGACACCCACCAATGAAACCGAGCCCGGTTACTTATTTTGGTTCCTTAACCAAAAACAAACGGTTCATCCATGGTTTATGGTTGTAAATTTCCTCAAAGTCATTTAAAGGACCAGTAACGTTACCCAGATCATTCAATAAAGTGGTCTGGTTGCAGTGGTCCTGTTATTTTATCCCTGTATGTAAAAACATTGCAGCTTTGTAGAGTTGCTTAAACTGGAGTGACAGAGTAAAACCCAGTCATGTGATGCAACAGCTTATAGGAAAGCACTGCATTCAATGGACAAACAAAAAGTGGATACAAAGAAAATCAGGACTGCTAATTTTTTTCGTAGGCACTCAAAATAGTGCTCCGTATGGTGGACATCCAGATCCATTTTGTTTTTAAAGAAAAATAATGACATTTAAAAAAAAAAAAAAATGTGCATAAACCTCATTTTGTCCATCATTTTACTGATCAAGGCAGTGATCCAGAAATGACAGCATATCACAACTAACAAGTCCACAAATGTGAACAGTGCATATACACAGACACTTATCTTGCATGAAGCAAAACTAACCATGTTTTAAAAGAGATTTATTAGAGCTACTTTTATTGTATAAGACATCTATTTAAATATCAAAGCTTGCTTGTGGCATCTCTATTGAGTTATTATTGCCATTTATATAGTGCCAACAGATTCCGTAGCGCTTTATATTATGAGAGGGGGGGGGGGGGGGGAGGAATTTAACTATAATTAGGACAATTACAAAAAAAAAAAAAAACCTACAGGAACGATAGGTTGAAGAGGACCCTGCTCAAATGAGCTTACAGTCTATAAGAGGTGGGGTATAAAACACATTAGGAGAGGAAATAGCAATCAAATAAGGTGGGAGTGAGGCAGAGCTGGAGAAGAGAGTAGAGTGCTGCCCTTTAGGAGAGAGCAAGAGACAGGTATGTGAGGTAGAGGTTACTCTGGGAGGCCATAAGCTTTCCAAAAGAGATGGGTTTTAAGGAACTTCTTAAATGATTGAAGACTAGGGGAAAGTCTGATGGCGGTAGGCAGGTTATTCCATAGGAAGGGAGCTGTCCGTCAGAAGTGCTGCAAGCATGAGTTGGTCGTACAGGTGCAGGCAGCGGAGCGGAGGTGGTCATGGGCAGAGCGGAGAGACCAAGAAGGGGGCATACCTATGGATCTGTGAAGAGATATAAGAGGGGCTAGAATTGGTCAGTGCTTTATAGGTATGGGTTAGCACTCTGAATTGACTCCTATAGGACACAGAAGCCAATGTATGGACTGACAGAAGGGTGAGAGGACCGACTAGAGAGGAAAATCTGTCTGGCAGCAGCATTCATGACAGACTGTAGCAGGGCAATACGGCTTTTGGGAAGACCAATTAGGAGAGAGTTACAATACTCCATGCGGGAAATTACTAGAGCATGGATAAGCTCCTTGATAACATCTTGCATAAGAAAGGGGCGGATGCGGACTACAGGATTTGGCAACATACTGGATGTGAGGCCAGAATCAAGTAGAACGCCAAGGCAAGGATGGACTTATGTGGATACCCCTAACTTGAATGGAGAGCGAAAGAAGAGGAAAGACAAGGAGCTCAGTTTTAGAGAGATTGAGTTTCAGAAAGCAGGAGGACATCAAGTCAGAGATGGAAGAAAGGCAAGCAGTGACACGTTGCAAGACGGCAGGGAAGAGAGATATCTGGGTGTCATCAGTGTACAAGTAATAGTGGAATCCAAATGAGGTAATACGTTTGTCAAGAGTGGCAGTATAAAGAGAAAATAGAAGGGGAACTCCAACCGAGACAGGATGAAGGGAGGAGGTATCATTAGAAAAGGAGACACTGAATGAGCGTTGGGAGAGATAGGAGGAAAACCATGAGAGGACAGAGTCACAGAGACAGAGTGATTGAAGAGTTTGAAGGAGAGCATGATCAACAGTGTCAAAGGCAGCAGAGAGGCCAAGAAGAATTAGTATGGAGTAGTGGCCTTTGGATTTAGTTGCAATGAGGTGGTTAGAAACTTTGATAAGAGCAGTCTCAGTAGAATGGAGAGGGAGGAAGCCATATTGAAGAGAGTCAAGGCAAGAGAAGAGACAGAAATTGAAGATGTGTGTGTTAAGAAACATGGGGAGAGAGAAAGCCATATTGAGAGAGTCAATGCAAGAGAAGAGACAGCAATTGAAGATGTGTGTTAAGGAAGGCATGGGGAGAGAGATCTGATAAGGCAAGATGGGACAGGATTGAGGGGGCAAGTAGTGGGGTGATTGGAAAGGAGAAGCGCAGCCACCTCTTGTTCAATAGCCAGGGAGGAAGTCTGAAGAGTAGGAAAGGCATGATCAACGTGTGGTTGAGAAAGATAATGGCAAGGTGGGGAGAATTCGTTCCTTAGCTGTTTAATCTTGTCGGTAAAGTAGCTATCGACTGTAAGGTTAGCTTGGGGGGTGGCCTCAGCAGGGCGAAGAAGAGAGTTAGCAGGTGTCAGAGATGCCTGGGATTGCGGTAGCATGAACTAATGAGAGAGCAAAAATATGACCATTTGGAGAAGGAAAGGGCTGCGTTGTATGAACACAATATGAATATATAATGGAGATAGTCTGTCTGGGTGTGAGACTTCCTCCAGGAGAGTTCAGCACAACGGGAGCATCTTTGCAGGTAGCGTGTTGATTTAGTATTGGGGGCATGTCCTCCTCGAGGTGCATGTTTGGAACAGGGCTGCAACGTTCAAGGCAGAGGTGAGGGTAGTGTTATATGTGGAGATGGTGAGTGAGGAAAGGGATGGAAAGCAGTTGTGAATTAATATCAGCTGACAGCTGCTGAGGGTCAATAAAATTAATTTGAGGGAGGTTACACAGAGATTGTTGGGTATTTGAAAGCAAACGAGGTGGTGATCAGAGAGAGGAAATTGAGTACTGCATATATTACAGTACATGCATAAGAGAAAATGAGGTTGAGGGTATTGCTAGCTACATTGGTGGGAGAATTAGCTCACTGTGATAGCCAGAGGGAGGAAGTAATTGAAAGTAGTTTAGAGGCTGCAGAGGTCAAAGGTGGGTTAATGTGAATAGTGAAGTCCCCAGGAATTAGGGATGGAATATTAAGAGAGGAAGTAGGGTAGCCAGGCAGCAAGGGGGGTGGGGGGTGTAAAGTCCCATTTGTAACAGGAGGGTAAAAATCAAAAACCATACAGCCTTTTGTTGTGGACAATCCTAAGGTAGGAAGATAGAAGAATGCTTTTAAAAGGAAAGAATGTAACTGGGATCCCGTAGTTCTGCTTTGGTGTTCGACCTCCAACAAATAATGCTGTACAAATGTAGTTAAGATCTCACTGTACAAATATTTAGATATTTTTCACTTAAGCCCTTAACTGCTTAATCCTTATTAAAGACTAGTTTACGGTTTTAAAGAGTCACATCAGGAACCTCCACCATGATTTAACAAGAAGTTACTGTATGAGATCAATGGAGGAGAGGTCAATGCTGACCCAATAAAGACATGCCTGCCTTCTAGAGAAGACAAAAACTGTCTGCAATGTGCTACCGAGTGTTTGAGTGAAAAATTACCCATGTTTTGTTTTTATATAGTACATGAACATTTTCAGAATATGTTGCAGTGTTCATCCCTATACCTGCTTTTTTAGATTGAGATGATGGTCATTTGAGTATGTGGCACCTTTATTGAGTTATTATGCTTGTGCTTGAGGATGTAACCCAGAATACCATAGTTTTTGGTTTTACTTGCGGAATGCAGAGACCAAGTTAATGGCTTTTTGAATTGTCTGCATTTTAAATGCATTTAAGTTCTCAACCGGAAAAAAATGAAGCATCAGGACAACAGTTTCTATAATATTTGTATATAGCTTTAACTAACATACATTTACAAATTGAACAATTTAAGCAAAAACTATTAATTTAGTTCAGATAAGGGGTGGGCAGAAAATTATAAAGTGAATAACTATTTATCCTTAAATTTTAGAATTCTTGTTTTCTAACCTAAATCGAAGAGGGGGATAAAACAAACAAATCATAGTAGTTTAGCTGAAATTGCTCATTTTAATTCAGCTAAAAAGTGCAGAAGTTCTTTGATTACATTGAATACATCAAATTATTAAATAGATTTGACTGCCATTAAATATACTTAAATATATTTCCTTTGCCTTTTATTAATGACAAAATAACCCAGCCTTGGCCTTGTTTATGCTGGAGACGGTCAATACACACTTTAGAAGCTGTCTGCCCAGGAACTTTCCTCGTTCTGTTAAGTAAATGTTTGATGGTCTTTTCATGAATAATGCCGTCTCACAGTGATCCAGAGGCAAATAAAAAAAAATAACCACAAGGATAAAAAGTCCAGGATAGCAAACTTAAGCTACAGTCCATACCAAAGATACACAGAATGTTTCTTTTCTATGCCGGTCAAAATGTTGGTCTTATAAGGACATCCGTGTTGAAGAACCTTTAATGTGCTGCCAGTTATTATACAGTGCGTAAGAGCTCGCAAGAGCCAAGCCGGCAAGACCTCCTCGAGCAACACCTCGCAATCCAGCTGTGAAATAAAATGTCCAAATATTAATGCATGACATTAAATAAAAAGTTAAACTCTGAAAAACTCTCTTTAGGAGATCATGCAATCATCATTTTCCTGGACTAAATTAAAAACGTTACTGAAAAAAAAAAAAAAAAAACCACTACAAAATATTACAGTAGTTGATAAAATTTTAAAATTATACATTTGTGAGAAAATTGCATACAGGTAAAAATAAAATTAAAAAGTGTGTAGGTCACAGCTTTATATTTCTTAAGGGAATCATATTCAATTACAAAGTCGATAAATGTTCGTACACCAGGGGAGCCACTGAAAATGGAATGAAGCATCGAGATACGGACTACCAGCACCTTTGACTACGAGTTCCTACTTCCAATTGAATCAATCCCTAAATCAATTCAGCAATAATGGTCTTTGAAAGTACTTGGCAAGGAGCCTAAACATGCGGACACTGGGGCATTGTGAGTTAACACGTAAGGTAGAAATATAAGTATTTGATTGAGGTGTGTAGATTCCACTAATGCACTAAAGGTTTACAGACACAGATCAAGAAATAAGCTAATGCCAAGAGAACTTGCAAACATTGCAACAATTGTGCTCTGACAACACGAGCAACTATGAAGGTACATAACATTATATATTTACTGGCAAAACAATTCTGCCAGTTTCATCACAGTGTAAAATCCTCCAAACCAACCAAAGGCAGTGCTATGCAAAATGATCCTAATATCCAACGTGAACTATGTATTGAAAATAAATAAATAAATAAATAACACACCCAGAAAAAAATTGGGGAATTACCAGGTATTTTCATAAACAGAAAACAGCATAAGGGGAAAAATGAGATCATGCTCTATACATAAATTAGCCAATGTTCCTAACGTAATACAGCTCATTGAGAAGGTAGACAGGCAGACTAGCTCTAGCCGTGTGGAATTAATGGAAGCAAAAGAAAGAGGTTTCTGGCTCACGTTATAATAATAATAAAAAGATAAAACACACACAAAGCACTAGATCAAGATGAAATGCTTAATATGTCTGGAGTGTCTCTATGGACGTTAAGCCTGTCACAGCAAGTACTGAAACAGGCAGTGTTTTTCAATGAGCACACAATTTTTTTTAAATCACAGCCATTGCAGACCCTGCTTTCCTAGACTGCTGACAATTAAGCACACTGGAAAATACACAGTTGCTAGGCAGAAAATGAAATTCTGGACTTCATTTAGCTCCCACTTCTCTTAAAAGGCAACGCCTTGTATACCCAGCTATCACAGGCTTACATTCCTATGTCAACAGACCCGAATGTGCTCAGACATGGTTTCTTCCCTTATCTGGAGAGTAAAGAGATGCACAGCCCACAAGGCCAAAGTTCAGTAACAGTTGTGCTGACTTCACATTCTGTGACAGACAGCCACGAAGAACAAACATTTCTCCTTGTGATGGATGGGATTAGACAGTGTTTACCTGTCTTCTCGCGTTTACCGTTCAAGTTATTCTAAGCCTGTTTACAGATTTCAAGTAGCCCAAAAATCCTTGTCGTAACCCAGACTAAAATAGTGATTACATACATTTTGGAGGGGAAAAAAAAGTTTTTTTTTGCTAAAAAACAAACAAAAAAAAACAAACCCACAAAATAAATTTTTCAGGATTAATTTGTCACAGCGAGAACAATCCAGTATGAAAAGCAAATAATGAATAACTGACCAAAAACAAAACAAGAAGCCACTAACAAGCTTTCTCATGCAAGAATCCGAATGTGAAAATAAAGTTTGGTGCGAGGAGTCTTTATCTTCTGAAAACTGAACAGTGTTTACGGAAACACTGATTACAATCTTGCCCAAAAAGCAGATTAACAAAAAGGAATACCTTCCTTTAAAATTGACTCTGTATTGTAGAAAGGAGTCCACTGCCTAGAGGTGTATTAGAAATGAAAACATTTAATGGGTTACTCCAACCCTTTCATTATGATACGTTTATTTTAAAACGCCCTACTGGGCATTGTAGCTTGTGGACTACCATTTCTTTAATTTAAAAAAAAAAAAAAAAAAATCTCCTTATGATAGATCAAACTTGACTGGAATCCTGCACTGGATGTGATTCTTCCCGGCCAATATCACAGCAAATCACTCTAGGCTTACCTTGTATGTGTGCTCCCAGCAAAGGTTGCCATAGTAGGAGCTGATAACATCTGTTGGCAGCCTGCGCTGATGACAGAGCTAATTTTTGCACAGAATTAAAGGGACACTATAGTTACCAAAATAACTATCTTAATGAAGCAGTTTTGGTGTATAGATCATGCCTCTGAAGTTTCAGTGCTCAATTCACTATCATTTAGGAGTTAAATTACTTTTAATTCTGTCCATATAGTTCTAGCCACACCTTCCCTGGCTGTAACTCACACAGCCTGCATTAAAAAAATAAATAAAAAAAATTCACTTTTAGTTCAGTTGTAGCTTGCTTTAAAAGTTTTTGTTTTTTGTTATCGCCTGCCCTCTAACTCAAACTTTAATGACACACAGGAGGCTCTGGCAGGGTCTAGCAAGCTATTAATGTAGGATATAAGAAATTTTAAAGTAAACACAATTTGCAATAAAGGAAGTTTAAACATTAGATGACTCTTTACAGGAAGTGTTTAGGAAGGCTGTGTAAGTCACATGCAGGGAGGTGTGACTAGGATGCATAAACAAAGTGTTTTAGCTCCTAAATGGCAGAGAATTGAGCAGTAAAACAGAAGGGACATGATCTATACACCAAAACTGCTTCATTAAGCTAAAGTTGTTTTGGTGACTATAGTGTCCCTTTAACATCTAGCCTGCTCAAGTCAGTGCCTACCACCACAAACATTTCTAAAATCAGAAGTGATCATGGAGGTTGGTGTAACTCTTTAAAGAAACACTAACAGTAGAAATACAATGTTTCACTACCAGTTTAGATGTATGGACCCATTTGGAAAAGTCAAAGTATTTTTTACTCCCCTTTAGCCCCTCGCTGTAACAGTCTCAGTGCAGGTGCCGCTCAGGCTGAGATCATTAGGCCAATCCAATGCTTCCAAACAGGGGTGACTCTAGCACAGCATGGTAATTTCCATGCACGCAGTCAACATCTCTTCCTAGAGAGGCACAGGCTCCAGAATCTCTATCTGGAGCGACCAGCGTCTTCAGAGAGTGAGGATGCCTGCACAAATCGCAGAACTGCACCAGGAAGTGCCTTTGTGGTTGTCACCATGACAGTCATTAAATGTAACCAAAGAATGTAAATGCAGCCTTTTCAGAAAAACTCCTGCAGCCTCAACAATGCAGTCTCTCTGTACCAAAAGCACCATATTAAGCTGTAGCGGTTCTGGTGCTTAAAGTGTCAGGCTAAAGAAATGACCATAGTTGAGTGAAAACGACAAAAAGAGTAAATCAGAATTAGGGGGGAAAAAAAATGATCCAGATGCAAAAATGTCATTGTAAATAAATTGACTAAATTGTTAGAAGCATGTATACAAATCAGCTAGTTTTGGCACTTAAACAGAAATTTTTGTACACAGACCAGATTGTGCATGGTAAGAATTTAAACTGGATAGATCGAGCTCTCTGATTGACAGGAGACAAAGGTCCTGTTTGCATTGACTAATACAGGCCATTTCACCTTAGCACATACATACTTAAGGAAAATGCTGAACAATATGCACCATTTTATTTTTGATAAAATTGCACATAGCATTACTTTATCCTGTGTTTCTGTAAAAGCCATAAACATGTCAGGTGGTGTTTGAATTGGATGGTTAATTGTTGTAAAAGCGTTTTAACATGCTCCTACAGTCAGAGTATATCAGCTATGCTGTTGGCTAAGCCATTAAAAGGCAACAGTGAAGACAGGTTTATTGTAAGAAAAGTAATAAACGGAGTTACTATAAGGGTGGTGCATAAGATTATAGTTACAGAATTTCAATTGTGGATTCCAAAGAACTTGTGAAACAACTAATGAGACACTGGATTTCCACATTGCTGTGAGAAAAATGGTGTAAAATACGAAAACATAGATGGAGCATGAATCATTTGATTTGACATGGTCCCACATGTAAAAATAAAAATGGTGGTTACAGAATACAGAAGATTACTGGAGTATATACCAGATACTACAAATTGGCAACACAGATGGCAGCCATTTCGGACTAGATATTGCTTTGTTATATCTATTGCACTGACCTCTGTCTATTATAGTTGGTGTTATAATTATTCCATAGATCCACCAATATGAAATTTACTGCTGCTAAGAAAACTATAAAAGTGATGTAAAAAAAATGCTAGGGGGAATATGCAGTCATGTAGACTAGCCCGAATGCTGGCAAAGCATCATGGGAGTTACAGCAGTTCTGTAACAGCCAGAGATCTGCTTTCTACCGACTTTTGTTGTACAGTCTACTTTAAAGGGACACTGTAGGCACCCAGACTACTTCAGCTCACTGAATTGGTCTGGGTGCTGTGACCATTTTGCACTTAGTGCTGCATTGGTAAACAAACATTGCGCATTAAACCCCGCTCGTAGCGTGACGGAGGAGGGAACAGAGCTTCAAACCAAAGCCAAGGGATATCAGCGCTGGGATAAGGTAAGTAAAGGGGTTTTAACCCTTTACTTACTAAGGTAGGAGGGGGCGTGAGGCAGAGGAATCAGTAGTGCCAGGAATACAGCTTTGTATTCCTGGCACTACAGTATCCCTTTAACATTAAAAATCACCACCTGGCACTTAAAAAACAGTGTTCCACGATTTCCCTAAATGAACCAGAAACACATGAGAATATGAACCACCACCTTGACCATATCTGCTTTTTGAAATAGTGATAGTGGTAGGAGCCTACAATGATTGAAACACTGCAGAGTTATTGGCAATTGTGGGTCAGGGCACATGTGACCAGCTGCCTAATGTTAATTCTGTGCATATTTTACATGTGTTGTCAGTCCGCATTGCAAAGGTGAATCTTGTATTCCACTGAGATTGCAACCCTCCCTTGTGTCTATCCAATCGAATATTTTTATTTGTTCTATCCTCCATCTCTTTCAATTGCCGGCTCAGAGTGCACATGCGCTCTGAGCCAGTTAAATGGTCCAACCAAAGGATGTGATGCAAGATGGAGGCGTGCCGAGCATTAAATAAAGGTACTTATTAAAATGCTTGTGAATGGTTATACTACAAAATTCTTTTTACATCTTCCATTTATGTATGAATCAATAATATGCTACAAATATTCACTTTAAAAAACAAGAAAAACATTTTGCATTTTCCTTGTCAAATCACCTGTGCCCAAGTGTGTTATTTTGTATAAAGACCATATCTACGAAAGACTTATTGATTACTTAAATGTGGAACAAACGATCTTAGAAACAGTCAATAGATGTGTACTTCCAGACTAAACGCCAAAACAGCTAGACGCTAGGGATCAGCGCACTTTCAAGAAGCACAGCATCACCTAACACTAGTGCCAAATGTCACCAGAACGATGACAATGACAGCCAGCATACAGTGGTAATGCTTTAATCTGCCAGCAGTGTAACACGATCACAGGCATGGGAAAGCGCTGGATAGCTGACTACTGCTGGCAAAAAGAACAACACATTAAAGTGCACCCCGTCACTGTATAAAGTGGGGCATAAAACCATATGTATATTTCTTTAAACCAGTAACGGCAAGGAAGAAACCTGCAACAATCTTAGCTCCATAACCAGTAGGGTGGCATGTCTTACTGATGGATTTCATTGGGCAAAAAGACAAAATATCCAGTTACTTGTGCAGACCAGATCTGCCCAAACTATTTGGAGACATCGGGGAAAATCTACCACGCAGTGAAGGTTATTTGTAAAAACTCCCAGAGTGAACTATGGAACAAATGCAATAGATTATATAGTAAATTGCCTGCTCCCTATTCTAAACCATTGTAAAATAATTCAGTACCTGTAGATTTGTACAGCATCCCAGTCATTGTGCCAGCTGCTATGGTGTTGAGATCATCTTCTGCTCCCCGGGTCTTCTCTATGATAACCCCAAATGCACTATACAGTAAAGCTACATAAAAAAAAAAAAAAAAAATTAAAGTTATTGCAAACATAAAATTGTTAAACGTTACCCAATAGCCACTAAAGCAATGATATCTTAATTGCTAGCTCTACAGCTGGTAAAGTAATATGGAAGCAGTGATTTCCCTTTGGCCACATACAGCACTGAACAACTTGTTTGGGGAAATTGTGGCAGAGTGAATGTCCTGTCACTGAAATGGTTATTTATTAAAGATTTTAATGTTGAATTTTATTGGGCAAAAAAACCCAACTGGCTGAGAATTCTTCCCAGTTTAGCTAATTCAACCCAATATATTAAAGGACCACTATAGGCACCCAGACCACTTGGGCTCAATGGGTGCCAAGTCCCTCTAGTGTTAATCCTGCAGCTGTAAACATAGTTTCAGAGAAACTGCTATGTTTACACTAGGGTTACTCCAGCCTCTAGTGGCTGTCTCACTGACAGCCGCTAGAGGCGCTTCTCACGGTGAAAATCAGTGAGAAGACGCTGGACGTCCATAGGAAAGCATTAAGAAATGCTTTACTATGGACTGTTTGAATGCACGGGCGGCTCTTGCCACGCATGCACATTCAGCGCAGACGTTGACAGGAGGAGAGTTGCCCGGCGCCAAGTGAGCCCAGCGCTGGAGAAAGGTAAGTGTTTTAACCCCTTCAGCCCAGCGGGAGTGGGACGGACCTAAAGACCCTAGCACTATAGTGGTCCTTTAAGTTTACTTTGGACTCACTTCAGTGAATAACCCTTCAAGAGTAGAAAAATTACTGTTGCGCATCTCAAGTTGTAAGAAGTCCAACAAAACCCCAAAAAACAGGTTTTCCCTAATGTTCCAGTGTTCCCAGCTTGATGTGCAGAGAGTGTAGAAAAATAAGCAACATCTCCTATCCATAACCCTACAAAAGGGTAACCAGTATGCTTTCCACAGTTTGTAAGTTATGTACTGGCACAGAAACTAGGCAATATTTTATTTAAGCAATACTGACCCGGGGGCCATGGATAGAACATTCTGGTATCAATCACGGTTACATCCACAGCTCTAAGCAAACACAGCTGGATAAACAAGAAACATGTCACAGGAGGGCCTTTATCTAAATCACACCTAAGCTGTTCAACCTCTTCCAAACGGGTCAAGGTTTAACCCTTGATACTAGAAAAGTCACAGTGCATTTGGCAGGTAAGAGGTTAACTCTAGAATACGTAGGAGGCTCTTAAAATACTGCAACCAAAATTGCAGGTAACCGGTCAATCACAACAACATACATTTAGAATTTAAAAAAATAAATACATTTAATTTCCTACAATTTGTATATTCCAATATTGCCTTGTATTGTCAGACCTAAGTATTCAACACACACAGTGCTTTTCAATAGTTTGCCAAAATAGCCAAGCTTAAGGATTCTTCTAATTTGGTTATTCTTTTCCAAAATCTGAAATACCCCAGTCAATTCTCAACAACTCTCAGTTTAGTGAAAACTCCATGACTGTTATATTAAAGGGTTACTCCAAGCATTGTAACTGTTGCTGCCCACTGGAGTGATTATGCAGTGGTCAGGAACAGTTTACCTTATCTGGGTTCCCGCTTCTCCCTGGTGATACGGTCACGCTATTCATTGGCTGACTACTCTTCGCTAATGACAGACATTCTGTGCAATGAAAGTTACACAGAAATGACAGTCAGTCGAGAACTCTTATTTCCAGGCTGGCTGATGACACCACAATGACATTACCGGCGGTAGAAGGGGGATAAAATCCATATCAAAATGCATAGCATACAGACTCCAAGCACCATGACCACTTTAAATCACTGAAGTGTTCATGGAGCAAATCTTTAAATTGATTTATAAAATGCACATGCAGGCATATAATTAAACAAAATCCTGTGTGCTTCCAGAATAGCACCAGAAAAGCCAAATCAGGCATTTGGCACATTGTTAAGGAAGCATGACATGCCTATTGCCTGCGGTACATGTTACAAGAACAGCAACAGTGCCTGAAAGCAGTGTATGGCAGTGTCTTGATCTCCCAGCAATGTAACACTATCACAGGCATTGGCAAGCACCGGACAGCTGACTACTGCTGGGAACCAATGCTAACAGGAAACTTACCTACAGATCCCAATGTGTTTGCCCACAATGCTCCTTGCTTTGTTACCATGTTCAAAATCCTAAACAAAAGAACAGATTATTAGTACCTAAATTAAGGCATGCTGTGATTGTTGCATGCTCGTTCAAAATATTTATCAGCAATTACATTTCTGACTTGGCAAGATTGCAGGTCTTTGTCAAACATGGCCACCCAGCATATTTTTTTCAGGCCAGAAGCTAAAGCAAAAACCCTACTGAGTAATGAATAACAGAACATTTTAGTATACAGCCTGTGTTTCCTGCACTATTTATGACCTGTGGTTTACAGTTCCACTGTGTGATGTGCTGCTAAGAAGCACGTCTCACTGACAGCTACGGTATCTGGTTTTCAAAGATCACACACACACACAGAAAAGCACACATAGGAAAGTACATCATTTAACAAACAGGTCTCCCTAATCACGTAACTTGTTACACAATTAAAGTCACCCTGACAGTCTCTTTGAATACTTGAAACAGGAAAGAGCCCTGTTCTTTTTAAACCGATCAACTACTAAAGAAGTAAAACATTTGTTTGGCGACCCATATACTGCTAGTCATTAAGAAATTACGTTTAGAATTGTCACAATTTATATTAATTTACATGAGAATACATGTAAGCTTCCAGACTAGCACCGAACTACACAAGTCCAGCGCACTCTCGAGGAAACACGACACTACCCAATACAAGTGTCACATGCCACCAGAACGGGGACAGTGGCACCAAGTATGTGGTGGCAGTGCCTTTATCTCCCAGCAGTAAAACGCTATCACAGACACCGTAACAGACAGGATAGCAGACTACCACTGGGTTTTTAAACAAACTTGTCTGAGCACCTTAATATGCTTTGGTTACCCACGTCACAGACATGCAGAATAGGACGGTGCGTTAACAATAATGAATAAAACTGCTCTTATAAGGGAATTTTATCAAACTGCTTAGAATCCTTGCTACCTATTGTTTTTAAGACGTTTGAAACAAATTAAAGGTCACCCGTGGCCCAGCCTATTGCTTACTGTACTGCTAATGCAGAAGTTACACTTCCACTTAAAATCAACTACATCCAAATTTGGATGGCACCGATTGGCTGAGCTGATCGTATTACAATCTCAGCAAATTAATGCGATCTAACTATGGACAAAATTGACAATGCTTATGCATTGACTGTAGTACTAGCAATATGGCGCGTATGTGGTCAAGCCTGCTTGAAAGCAGTTTCACACCATAAGTTGTAGTGGTTATGGTGTTTGAACATCCTTTAAAGTTATATACACAAATTGTGAGGATACTCATTACACAGGTATATGCATAACCATTTTCTGTGCCAATGAAACCACAGGTCTATACAATGTACCATACGATTAGTATAAATGAGGAGGGGATGCTAGGAGTTCATGGAGTTTCAACTTTACCGATGGCATAGTAGTAACAAACAAGAAGGTTCAGTTAAAAAGATTTTCATTAGAAATGTCAAAGTAATTTGGCTACCATAATATATAGATTACATTTTAAATTCTTTAAGGGGACACCAAAGCACGTTAGTCACAACAGATGCAACTTGAATCCTATGCAGTTAAAATATAAACTTCAAAGAATAGAAAGGAGATCCTTTTTAATACTAAAGGGTCTGCTGCTGGTTGGTTTCCCCAGATTTAACAGCTTTTTAGAAAGATTAAAAATGCAAGAATTTAATGAATTGCTACAAAATTAAGTAACACTATAAAACATTTTACTCAAAATATCATTAAACATGACAAAATGAGTCTTAAATGCTTAATATATCCGAAAAGGTCTCACGGTTTGTAACCAATATGTATATACTGCCACCATCTGGCAGCTGCTTGATTAGCAGCTACAACTTCCATTTTGTGATCCTAACACTGTATGCACAAGTGAGACATGTCTATATTAATTCTACATTTTGTTTTTAATTATTTGGAGATAAGGGAGTATTTGAGACTGTGCTCCTTAGACATGTTTTTCTGTGTATTTATCATTTGTATATTATTAGACACAGTCTGTTATGTTTGTTCCTTGATGTTGAAATTCTATACTTACTGAACATTTTTGGGTTTGGACCATGCCATATTCTGAGTTTCTTTAAACCCAAGTCGCAAACCATTCAATGCACCAAACGCAGCCCCTGGTAAACGGAAAAAGACAATCAACCATTAGATCTCCAAACTCCATACTGAAAACAAACAGGATTTGGGGTTAAACCATTCTTTAACATTTTAACCTCATCCATAAAGACAAAGTCCCAGACCACCTCGGACAATAAAATCTTCATTTGGTGCACGCAGTGGTCTTTTAAAGTGATATATACATATATATTTGCTTCTCTGTGTGGGATAGAGGATCTTAGCTTTCATTTTAACATTTCCCTAACGCAGGGAGAGCAGATTGATTTGTTCTTGCCTACAGACAGTTATGGTAAAAGGTGGTGATAATTCTATGGTATTGAAACAAGGAAAACAAATGTATTAATGTTCACGCTCAGATCCTCTTGGGTGACCTGAACCCTAACAGAGGAGAAAGGAAAGTGCACCCACCAAAGAGAGCATGGACCTTCATCCTGCCAGAGAGTCAAATAATCAATCAAGATGTGAATGTCCAGCACTGCTGGTTTCAGAGAAGAAATTCTATTAGTTGCAAGTAGCTAGATTACTTCTGTGAAGCAACTCGAAATTGACACGGATATAGAACAGGGGAAAGCAACCTTTCATTACTGCCGTCCCTTAGAGTTGCGCCCCTAGTTTCCTTTTTTTAGGTAATGTCTACGTACATTGAAGAATTCCACATGTTTTATGTATGGGTGTGGTGGCTGTTTTGTGAGTATGTGTGTGTTTTTAGGAGTGCTGTGTGTTATGTCAGTATCTGGTGGTATTGCGTGTGGGGTTGTGTGTGTGATTACAGGCTGCCTGGTATGTAAGTGTGTGCAGTGTTTGTGGCGATGCCTGTTGCTTGTAGTACTTTTATGTGCAGAGTGCACTGTGGTAGTGCGTGTAGGGTTGCTAGCAGGGATGTGTATGTGTGGCGATTTTATGTAGAATGTGTGGGGAGAGGGGTTTCCAGGATCTTCATATAAGAAATATTGCTTTCTTTAAAGAAAATAAAAAAATGCTATCTATACATTCATCTATGTCTCTCCATATCTATCTATATTGCCACGGAGAGGGCACATATCTTCGTTGTTCCCTGATAGTCTGGTGGGTGCAACTCTTGGTTTGCACCTTCTGTGGCTGCAGACCACAAGTCCCTTTGCAGCCACTGTTTTGCATTTACAATAATCTGACTCTACAGGAGGCGTTTGAGTGCGAGAGAGTGTTAGCATCTGCTGGACGTACAGACCGCAAGTTCTTGCGCTCAGACGCCGGGGCACTCAAGGCCAGTTGGGGAGAATTTCTAATTTAGCTAAATGGCCCATCTAGGTCCAGTAGCCTCATGTGCCATAGGATTGCAGATGCCTAATCTAGAATCAGCAGATAAAGGATTTCTTTAAAACGTATTACTTCTAATTTCACAAAGTATTTAAATTTGTTGGAATATACATATAAGAGAAAAAATGTTGCTCTGTTCTGCAGTAAAAACAAACAAACAAACCCCTTCATTACCGACTAATATTTCACTGTTGTAAAACACTCCATCTTTATGATGGGGTTTGTTATGGTCTAGCATAATTTATTTTTGAGTAGAAGAAGAAATATATATATATATATATTTTTTTTTTAAATATTCTTTCTAGGAAATGTGAGCCTCTAAAACCTCTAAAAAGTTCTTACTTTTATGCAAATATCCATGTGACAAATCATCCTAAATTTTGTTGACTTTATTTTGTAAGCCAAAAAGATTATCCTCACTACGCCTGCAACTTCCAATCCAAACCAACTGCCCTGAAGCACTCTTCTTGACAGTAACCGGAGTCCAGAAAGCCACAAAGACTGTAGCGGGACTTATGTGCAACTCGTCTGGTACTCCGGTCCGGATAGTTCCAACTTCCACCCCGGTTTCCCCCTACTTCCATACCAGCTACAAGAGTGCTTTTTGAAGTAAAAGTGCCTCAGATAGTGATGATCAATCGCTCCCTGGGAGCAAGGAAAAGCGCCCCTTTATTCACCCACAAGAGCTCCCGATATTTGACCGGCCAAAGCACTAATCGCTCTGGAACTCTTTTGGGCATGGACCACATGTGCGGCTGGTCAAAACTTTACCCCGGTAGCGTTTTGTCATCTTTTCATTGATCCAGGAGCTATTTTTTGTCAACATGGGCGCTCAGATCAGACCTATCTGGGGATGTATAATGTGTTAGGTTCACGTATATTTTTCTGTTGTGCTTTCTGTATCTGAGAAATAATTAATTTAGTGAGCAGCAACTCAATTATCTCCCAGACAGAGGCATCAGGGCGGGATCATTGTACTGTGACGAGGGACTCCATGCTGTGTGTCTGTGTATAAATGACCGTGTTGAGCATACTCTGGAAGGAGCTACAATACTACGGGGAAGGGAATCCTTTGCAACCACAACATATGCAAAAAGATACATCTGCCCACTCATCGCACTACAAGCCCTCAAACAGAAGTCAATAACTGAACTCATGGAAGTCTAGCTGAGGTAAACATAACCACCATGAACAACAAGAATTGCTTGTGAGCTTCCAGACTAGCACTAAACAGCCAAAACGCATGTTCAGCGCACTCTCGAGGAAGCACAGCTCTACCTGATACAGGTGCCACAAGCCACCAGAACGGCAACTGTGGCACCATGCATGCAGCGGCAGCGCTTTTATCTCCCAGTAGTGTAACACAATCGCAGGCATGGGCAAGCACTGGACAGCTGACTACCGCTGGGAACACACACACACACTAACATTCTTGTATTTCGTAACACACAGTCAAATCAAACCCACATTTGCATTCGATAATATATGGAATGGTGATTTGTCTTCCCATTGCATCACAGAGAACAGTAGTTTTAATGTGGGTAACTAATAAACCGCCACCATTGCGGTTCAATCGGCAGACAGTACATGCCGGCCATTATGCTACGCTATTCATTATTCCAGAGAGAATGGGATGCCTGATCAGGAATTCATTCCCTGAACCCACAAGGGAAGAAATTGATCAGTTAACCTTTGTCTTAGTGCGAGATAGTTCTGTTCAGAATCAAACTAAGTTTTGGTAATCTTACAAATTCTACCATGTGAAAGTACATTATTTCAGACTGACCTCAAGTACCTGTAGCTACATAAAGTATTGTTTTTGGTAGAAATAGTATAACCTACTTGTAAACAAAACAGCACTTCCCATCACAAATTTATGTTTTCACCAATAATTATTTTTATTTAGACTTTTCCCAACAATAAGCATCAATGATACTGGATGATTAGCATAGCTGGACATAAAAATTAATTTATTCTAATTGATTATCAAAAGAGCTTGGTCTCGTCAATTACAAACCTGATATACAACAGCCACCAATGGTAAAAAATGCTAGTTCAAACCTCCCCCGCGTCTTGCTTGCACCTGTAGGTAAAATAAATTCATCTGTATCCTAGAAGGAAAAAAACAAACGGCTTTTAAGAATGGATTAACAATGGCATGACACATAAGGTTTCTCTTGTGTTTAACAGAATGCCCACTGATTGGTTTCCTCCCATTTATTTTGGTTTCGTAATATTTTCACTGCATCGTCTAGGAGCACCTAGACTGGTGCTCAACTCCTGCATCCAACAGTATTAATCGATTTGCAATCATGAAACTAAAGTGCTTGGAGTATCTTTTTAACTGGAAAATGGCAGACATTTCATATTGAATCAGGAAGCATTTACCATATGTACTAATTATCTCTTGCAATATACTTCCCTGCCCCCTAAACACTGTGGGATGCTCCATCGACTGAAATGTGACGGCTCGGGGGGTGGGGAGGAGGAGGCTGACTTCTAGCTCCGCCCAGTGTCTGGAAATTGAAATGTTGGGTGGAGGAAAAATACTGAAACAAAATAGTCCCTACATTGTCTTAGTATATTTTTCGACTGGGTTGGAATTTCAGTGAAATTCCAGCAGTCAATAGGACTATTTCATATTTCCCTGTATATATTTTTTTAAAGTTATATCCACTCATTAATTTATGGTTTACGTCACTTAAAAAAAACAAAAAGAAGAAAAAAAAAAAAACGACAATACATATCAAGATAAAAAGGCATTACAGAACACAGTATTATTCCTATGTTAACATTACATAGAATAGCTTTTACTATCCTATATGTATATCTAACATATAGTTTACAGAAAGGCTATTTTCCCTTAATAATTTTACAGCAGCCTATGCAATTTTCCTCTTGACATTCTTTAAAGCAGGTGCCCAAAATATCACCATATATTTAACCCCTTCATGACATTAGGACATGCCGTTACCGCACAGAAAACCTCTGTTAGGACGTTAGATAGTGTAGGATTTAGGTTGGGGACAAGGTTAGGAAAGGTGTCCGGTTGGAGCTTGCACAAGCATAATGTTAGCGTTAACTACCAAAGACGAATTTAAAAGCTAAAAATACAAATTCTTTTTGCTTTAGAGGCACCTGAAATATATATATATAAAAAAAAATATATGCATGAATGTGGAAAAAATGCTCTCAGACATTTTATTCACACTTAAAGGGACATGTATCCCTGAGACTACTCAGTGTATGTCTCATTGAAAAGCTTTAGCTTTGAATGACACAGTTGCCTCAAACTGCAGGCTGAAAAAAAAAAAAGCAGGTAAATATATTTCCCCCTTCAAATAATTACAGTTTTCTTCTCTTATTCATTTCACACCCACTCTATGGGGGGCACTGATATAAAAAAAACAAAAAAAAAACCCTACGTTTGGATGTTATTTTGTTTATTATCCCCTTAAGGACGGAGCCAAATGTACACGTTCTGAACGAAACAAAATGTAAACAAAACCTGGCATTTGCGCTACATGTCTATCCAACCGTAATTCACCTCTTTCATAGTAAATGCACCCACCCTTATTATATATCATTTTATTCAGGGGAAACAGGGCTTTCATTTAATATCAAATATTTAGCTATGAAACATAATTTAATATGAAAAAAATGGGAGAAAATAAGATTTTTTTTATTTTTTTAGTTCTACATGACATTTTAACGGTCAATGTCATAATACTGTTTGCTTTTACTGCAATAAAATACACATATTTGTATTCAGCAAAGTCTCACGTGTAAAACAGTACCCCCTATGTACAGGTTTTATGGCGTTTTGGGAAGTTACAGGGTCAAATATAGCACGTTACATTTGAAATTGAAATTCGCCAGATTGGTTACGTTGCCTTTGGGACTTTATAGTAGCCCAGGAATTAAATTTACACCAATAATGGCATACCATTTGCAATAGTAGACAACCCAAGGTATTGCAAATGGGGTATGTCCAGTCTTTTTTAGTAGTCATTTGGTCACAAACAATGGCCAAATTTAGCGTTAGTACTTGTTTGTGTGTGAAAAATTCAAAAACCGCCAATTTTGGCCAGTGTTTGTGACTAAGTGGCTACTAAAAAAAAGACTGGACACACCCCGTTTGCAATACCATGGGTTGTCTACTATTGCAAATGGTATGCCATCATATGGGTCATTTTCTTTCTTGGGCTACCATAGGGTCTCAAAGGCAACGTACCCAATCTGGCGAATTTTAATGTGAAAAAAATTAAACAAGCCTTATATTTGACGCTGTAACTTTTGAAAACACCATAAAACCTATATATGGGGGGTACTGTTGTACTCTGGAGACTTCGCTGAACAAATATTTGTGTTTCAAAACAGTAAAAAGTATTGCAGCAATAATAGCGTCCGTGTAAGTGCTGTTTGTGCGTGAAAAATGCAAAATACGTCACTTTTACTGGCGATATCATCGCTGTAATACATTTTACTGTTTTGAAACACTAATATTTGTGTTCAGCGAAGTCCCCCGAGTAGAACAGTACTCCCCTTGTACAGGTTTTATGGTGTCTTGGAAAGTTATAGGGTTAAATATAGTGCTAGCAAATTAAATTCCCTTTACTTTTGGCATGGGTTGTCAGGCAGGTCCCGCTAATTGTAATTAAGATTACGTAAAAATATTACATAAATATATATGTAGAATATATATATACACACACGTATGTGAATATATATAATTTTTTAAAAATATTTTTATTTATATATAGGCCCCGACCTATATGGGAGTCCCGACCGCCGGCAACCAGGTAAGTAAGGAAAGACTGGAGGGCATACTATTACGCCTGGCGGCGTTTAGAGCCGCCTAAAATAAATAGTTAATAAAACTAGTTTTAAAAAATAAATAAATAAAAAAAAAATCTCGAATTTCTTATCTGCATCCTTGAGGGTTTTACCCGGAGGACTACATATTCCTTCGTGGGGAACATATCACCTATGCTGTTAAGGATTGAGCAATACTTATTTGCTCTTCCTTTGCGAGTATATCTCCTTTTATTTATTATTTTAACATTACAGAGAGCACTATTTTTTGTTTTTATATTTTTTCTTACTGGAGCACTAGCCACTGGCATACCAGAATACATCGAATGTGAGCACCGCTACTACCGCTGCTGACCTTACATCACTAACCAATGGCCTAAAGACACCTCCTTATACAGGACCATCTACAAATCCACAGATGGGGATTGTACCGTCCAGACTATAAAAACAGGAAACCAATTTACACCAATGTTTCATAAGCAGCAGAACAATTCACTATCACACAATGCCTTCTTGTGGTGGCCACACAGGCACTACATCTCTGTTCTGCTTGCCATTACATTAAAGGGAAATTATAGTGCCCCTAGTGGTGGAGTTAATCCTCAAAGCTAATTATTGTAGTTTATTAAAAACTGCAACAATTATATTTGGAGAGTCAAGGGACCTGGGACTATGCACCCAGACCATTCAATGAGCTGAAGTGGTCTGGGTGTCTAAAGTGTCCCTCTAAAGTACTGGTCTGAAAAGTTAGACTATGAGTTTCCTAATTCTTTGCAATTGATCAAGTTCTAAAATTGCCTGCATTATACCACATCAAATTCAATGCTAGCTTTACAAGCTCCTTAAAGACACTATAGGCACCAGGCTTATTGAATTGACTGGGTGCAGTGTCCCTGTGAGTTAAACCCTGCAATTGTAATAACTGCTATTTTTGATAAACTGCAATAATTACCTGGAAGGGTAACTACACATCTAGTGGCAGTCCACCAGACAGCCACTAGAGGGACTTCCGGGTGGTTAGGCAACTTTTGTAAACAAAATCCCAATAGGAAAGCACTATATTTTCCACTTAATCACCACTAGAGACAGCCGAGGTTTTCATTTCACAAAAATTAGCTACAACATTTGTCTAGTGTAAGAAAAATACTTTGTCTTAGTATAACCTTAGAAGGTTTATGAAAGTATTTAATACAGATTTTATCTTTATGAAATACTCATTTTGAATCAGGGTTGGAGGTGACAGTAGTATTCAAGAGAAGAAATACTTCATTACATAACACGAGTCAAGCCACATGGATACCTATATCTGTCATGACACGTTCACTTTAAATAGTGCTTACATTCTTACCTGTACTAAATATCTTGGATCCACATTTAAGTAGGGTGAAAGAGGACTCATTCCTGTTACTGAAAAGAAGAAAAATATAATTGAATTACTGACTAATTATGACCGAATCCAGTTTGCATTTTAATGTTAATCTGTGAAAATAGAACAAGCAAATAATAATAAAAAAAAAAAAATAAGAGGTTGATTCACTAGGCCTAATGCTAAGTCAAAGGGACCATAGATGCCCCTAAAATAAATGCTTATGGGGATCATCTCTGGTAATTAAAAATATATCCCACTAAAAACCTCACTCCTTTATAGGATGAGAATGAGAGAGGAAGGGTCTATGGTACTAAATTCAAAGCTAAATTCAAAGCCAACTTTAAACATCAGACCAAAATAACTGGAAACAAAGCTATATAATAGTAAATAACCCTGAAAGTATCCTCTACATTGTCTAATATTGTATCCAAATCAGCTATGTTTTTTCTTTATACATTTAGGGAAGAACTACTAAATAATTTCTAATTCCTGAATATTTATTCTTGATGTGTTACTAGGTATGTGGGGAGATGAAGGTCTCATTCCCTGCACTAAATTTACTGAGGACTATTCCCTGAGGTGTTAGATTTCGGGGCGAGGGGTGTTAGATTTCGGGGCGAGGGGTGTTAGATTTCGGGGCGAGGGGTGTTAGATTTCGGGGCGAGGGGGGTTAGATTTCAGGGGTGAGGGTTAGATTTCAGGGGTGAGGGTTAGGTTTCAGGGGTGAGGGTTAGGTTTCAGGGGTGAGGGTTAGGTTTCAGGGGTGAGGGTTAGGTTTCAGGGGTGAGGGTTAGATTTCAGGGGTGAGGGTTAGATTTCAGGGTGAGATTAGCCGGTCTGGGGTCACTGTTTATAGAGAGTCTGTTCCTGAGATCTCGCCCCTTAGTGAATAGCCGTGATATCTCGCCCGGTGTGACCCGCCATACTCACGCGGTACCCCGGCCAGGTCAGAGTGTGAGTATCCCGGGGAGCCCCCGCCGAAGAGGCCTCCGAATCCCCCCCTGCCCCCGGCCGGCCCGGGGTGGTTACTGGAGTCCATGTCCCGCGGCCCCGGCGCCGTCACTGCCGACTGATGGGAGAACAGCCGCCTCGTGTCCTCCTCTCCCCGCGCTGACCTCTCCACGCTCTGCGAAGGGGACGTAAAGAGAGACCGCTTCCGGTGTCTGCTCCCTCTTTCCGTTTGTGCGACGCCGGGTTCGCTTTCCGGCTCTGGATTCCGCAGAAGGCACCAAGCGCAGAGAGCGAGGCACTGCGCGTGCGCCGTGAGGACCAATCATAAGCCCTCTGACAGGGCGCGTGCGCTCACCCCCCAGCCGGGCCGCCAAGCAGCGCGCATGCGCGACACACCGCTGAGTGTCGGGAAAGTGCTGCACTTGTGTTCGTTCCTTTACGGCAGGGCAGTGAAAGGCCCGCGGTTGTTGTGGTTCCGGGTGAGGCTGTGTCAGAGGCTGTCAGCCCGGTATGGAGGAGCTCCTGCAGCCGGTCCCGTGTGAGGAGCGATGAGCTCGAGTTCCGAGGAGGAGACCCAGCTCAGCAAGAGGATCCGCATCCAAGGACCGGCGCAGGACTCAGAGCGCCCTGAGCAACAAAGGGGCCCCCCGGGGAGCCGGGGCCCCAGCAGCAGCAGCACCGTGGGGAACAGAGGTGAACCTGGGCTCTGCATTGGCCAAGCAGTGATTATACACTGCCATTATATACTGCCAGTGATTATCTAATGAATAACACTCTCTGCATTATACAGGGAGTTATGGGAATAATGAAACTGGCAGAAACAAACCTGAGAGAGAGTCCTCCCTGCATAGGGACCCTCACACAGCAAGGCTGCTTCTCAAAGAAACACTGCATGTACAGTGCTTGGTGTGTCTGGAGTCTGACATATTCCTGACATGGTGGGGGGGGCGGTCACTTTAATAAACACCCCCCTCCCCCCCCCCCAACTCAGACAGTCAGGACAGTCTTCTAATGCATCTGTTAAAGGACCACTATAGTGCCAGGAAAACAAACTTGTTTTCCTGGCACTATAGTGTTAATAGACCCCCCCATTCCGCCGGGCTCTAGGGGGAGGAAGGGGTTAAAATCTTACCTTTCCCCGGCGCTAGGGACTCTCCTCCTCCTTCCGACGTCATCGGCTGCATGCGTGGCAAGAGCCGCGCGCGCATTCAGTCACATTTTCTCAATGCTTTCCTATGGACGCTAGCGTCTTAGAAGCGCGGCAGCGCCTCTAGCGGCTGTCAATGAGACAGCCACTAGGGGCTGGATTAACCCTAATGTAAACATAGCAGTTTCTCTGAAACTGCCATGTTTACAGCAGGCAGAGTTAACCCTAGTTGGACCTGGCACCCAGACCACTTTATAAAGCTGAAGTGGTCTGGGTGCCTAAAGTGGTCTTTTAATAGCTCCATAGAACTAACAAGGAGCGCTAAGCTAGAGCGCTTCCACACTTTCAGTAGCTGTACTACAGATCATTGAGAAGCATAAGAAAGCTGTGATTGCTCGCAGCTTCAACACAGATGCTTCTCAGTGAGAAGCTTCTGATTGCAGTGTTCCCTACCACACACTGAAAGTCTGTGCTGGTGAAAGAGGGAGGGGTAAGAGAGAGGAGGTTATTCACCCTGAATTCCAAACTTTCTCACTTTAGGAAATTACCCCTTTGGAAGCAAGTGCTGTGTAACACTACATGGCACTATACTGATGTTGATGTGGTAGGCTGACAAGATTAGAGCTTTAATTGCAGAGGGTAATAGGCAATGCACACACTCACTAGGGCAGTAATGGCTAACCTTGACACCATAAATTGTTTCTGGACTACATTTCCAATGATGCTCAGTTAGCATCTAAAAGCTAGCTGAGCATCATGGGAAATGTAGTCTAGAAATAATTTATGGTGTCAAGGTTAGCCATCACTGCACAAGGGGAACACCCCCACCGGGTTTCTCCAAGTCAGGACTGCACTAGGGGAACACTCCTACCGGGTTGCTCCAAGTCAGGACTGCACTAGGGGAACACTCCCACCGGGTTGCTCCAAGTCAGGACTGCACTAGGGGAACACTCCCACCGGGTTGCTCCAAGTCGGGACTGCACTAGGGGAACACTCCCACCGGGTTGCTCCAAGTTGGGATTGCACTAGGGGGAACACTCCCACCGGGTTTCTCCAAGTCAGGACTGCACTAGGGGAACACTCCCACCGGGTTGCTCCAAGTCGGGACTGCACTAGGGGAACACTCCCACCGGGTTGCTCCAAGTTGGGATTGCACTAGGGGAACACTCCCACCGGGTTGCTCCAAGTTGGGATTGCACTAGGGGAACACTCCCACCGGGTTGCTCCAAGTTGGGATTGCACTAGGGGAACACTCCCACCGGGTTGCTCCAAGTTGGGATTGCACTAGGGGAACACTCCCACCGGGTTGCTCCAAGTCAGGACTGCACTAGGGGAACACTCCCACCGGGTTGCTCCAAGTCGGGACTGCACTAGGGGAACACTCCCACCGGGTTGCTCCAAGTCAGGAGGGCCAACTCGCAATCAGTCTAACTGGAACAAATACATACGTCTGGCACACCCAATGGTTTCTTATTAACAGGCTGTCTTTTATTTGGAGTTATGAGGAAAAGACAATGTTTTGGCACTATCCTGTGCCGTTGTCAAGTCTGAATAAACAGTGCGATACACTCATATAAATAACATCCACAGTGAATAAATATAATTGTCACAAGGTTCTTACAATTCAACATTAAGTGAAAACTATTAACATGAAATAAAACACTTTACATCATACAAAACATCAAAACACAGGTGCCTTCACGAATCTTAGGGGTGGGGGCCAGAGAGGGGGAGGACAGTAGGTGTCCCCCCCTCATTGTAATTTATGGCCCCCACCCACCGCGCAGGGGTGGGGGGAACAATAAGTCTCCCCCTTATTTTACTTTAGGGCCCCCAACTGTCATTTAGGGGTGGGGGCCAATAGGTTTTTTTTTTTAGGTCTTTTAGTAGATAACTCCCTGATACCGTGGGAATTAGGGAGTTATTTACTTAGCGGCTGCAAGATGCAGCCACAGCACGAATAGGATCGGAGTTTCATTCATTCGAATGAAATTCCGACACGAATAAAGTGCCGAATTGCGTTCTAAAACAAACGAACATACTGTTCTCATTCAGTTAGAACGCAATTCGGTAGTTAAGGCTAAAATGACAGGAAGCATCGCGGGAACACAGAGGAAAGGTAAGAAAATTGCTCTGACTAGCGGAAATGAAGCACACTTTGCTCCTCCGCTGGTCAGAGCTGGTCAAGCGGAGGAAACCTCCATAAGGCAAAGAGTCCCTACTTTGTCTTATGATTTTAAAGAAAACTAAAGAAGACCGGAAGAAAAGAACAGATCATGAGAGAGGGGGAGAAGAGGAAGAGATTGAGGAAAGGTAAGTTCGGCATGACAGTGCCGCTTTAACACCATAGATAGCACTGCAGCTGATTAGCCGAGCTCTGCCACAGTGATTTTCACTTGATCTCATGAGTAGGAAATCCCCCGTGGTCTGAATAGTGCCGGGTCTCCGTTTCCCAGGTGGCATCCCACTTCTTCAATTGAATTTCAGGAAGCACGGAGTGCCGCCAGGCATGGGCACTGCTGATTGGCTAAAGACAAAGTTAATTCATTTTATATTAGCAGCAATTCACACTATAATGAATAGCCATATTAATATATATGAAATCTTCTGGCCATGGTGTCAGTGATTTAATGACTGTTAAATAGGCTAGTTTCAGTGCAAACAAAACCAATATAACATACAACATAATATAATCTCATAATAAAATAATACACCAATCATGCAGAATCATATTAATGGATAATTCGTAGTAACTTTGTCAGTACAGTAGGAAAGTAATCTCACTTAACGACTTGCAATTTTGGATTAGCTGTCAATATCTAATAATCGTATTTAAAGACAGGTTGTTTAGCTTGTAAAGTTGGGGTAATGATTGTAATCTGCATTGCGGGAATTAATTTTTTTCCTCCCTACTTGCACATGTTAATGCATAATTTTTAGCAGGATTACTAATGCAGCAAGCTGGAGAGTAGATATTTCTTCAAACTATCTCTTTGAGAATGAAAGTAAGCTGTTTGGGTTATGTGCTGGAATCCAAAGAGCTGACAAGACTGAGGTAGGAACTGGGCACAACAACACAGGGAAAATCTGTTATAGAGTCAGCCAATCCAAAGGTCAATGTTCCAGATAGGAATGGTGATATATGTTTAGACAGTCTGGGTCAATACTAAGCAATACTAATAAAGCAGAATGGAAAGGAAACAAACGCCAAGTGTCTGAAGCAAATAGAACAACCGAGCAGAGTGATAGTCAGGTGAAGTTTGAAATGGGGCACCCTCTAAGTGCGCTGTACTGAAACAGAACAGGTATGGATGTCTTGGTAATAACTGAGTAACTAGATAATTAGACACAACTGTGCATTAAGATTATTCTATATCACACAAGGTATCTCTGTTTGAACAGTGAATTTTAAATGTAAAACTAATTTGCTGAATTTTAAACACGCTTTTTATTAAAATTTGGCTACTTTGGCCTAAAATGTGAAACTTGCCTGTCATTTTCCTGGCAATTTACAGTTTAGTAACTACCCCTTCAAGATTTGAAAAGCCTTCTTTTGTAATTAAATAATTGTATGATGGAAAAATTCCGCATTCATCTTATATATATATACAGATATATTGTGACAGAGCACAGGGTGTTGTTATTGATGGTGTCTATATTTAGCCGAAAGTACTGCAATGTAGGATCTAATAGCCCCAGGAAGAAGGTCTGTCTGTTTTAGTTAGAGCAATTCTGTGATTTAATATGGGTTCCTGGGTGGAGCATTTGGAGTGAAGGGATGTCCAGTGCTCCACTCGACAGTTTACATGCAGCACAGCAGGTGAGGAATCCAGTCCAGGAGTTCTGGATCACGCAGGTAGTTGCTCACCTGTTAGCAATGATCAGCACAAGGCTGCTATAAAACTTCCCTGTCAGGACAAAGGAATAAATGAGACTGCAAG